ATATTTTATATTTTTATATGGTATATATAATTCTTGTATCATCGGCTTCGTTTGTATGTCCTACATCGTGGCTACTGGGACAATTCGTGATGCCAAACATCGAGCGAACTACAAATCAAGAACAAAAACGGTTTTCTTTCCTCGTTACCCTGTTTATTACTTATTTATGGGCCAAAGAGATGAGACTATTTATTCAAGACAACTATCGTCCTTCATCGAACTACTTCATCGAACACCACACAAGGGAGAAAAAACTACTTAACAAAATATTCTTACTTTTTAATACAAGATGTATTTCTTCTTTGCATTGCAGTTGATTTGTAGAACGGCTCTTATTCGATGGTACTTCAAGTAGGCATACCCATTTTATTAACATTCTCTTCTATATGCATGAATTTTCTTTCTAGCTTTTAGTTTATATACTAAAAAACTTTTGTTAATTAAGAAAATTTAAGTATTATGTTCAAACAGTCGACATAGTTAATAGCAATTAGGACTACAAAGGTAGTCTGAAGATGAAGTTGATGAAGAAACATTAAAACCGTATTTATATCATTCTCATATAAAAATGTATTATATATTGTATTATGTGGAAGCTATTTGAGCCAGTGCACTTCAGCACTTTTACTCTTTCTTAAATCGAGGTATTTTCAAAACCCCTCTTTACGCCTTGACTGATTTATTGTTTATCACTTCATCAGACTAAGCAATAATTGACCTCAGATCTGCATACCTACACGAGGACCCTGTAACCATTCTAAGATTTGATAACGCGTATTAACATTTGTTAATTAAAATTTGTTGATCTGTTGATTCCTTTGAATGGAAACTACCAGTTTTCACCACTGATTGATGTAAGAACTTCTAATACCCACCATTCTTTACTGTTGATGAATTGAATTAATTATTTAATATAAATTAATTAACATATTGTATATGTTCTTTGTATAATAACAATAATAACAACTGCGTTCATTATTTTTGTTCATTAATTTGATTATTAACGAAAATTTAAATTTTGCATTGCTAATTACCATACATCGGTACGTATGAGTGACGTCACAAAAATATTGAAGACCACAACCAGCAGGAAACGCCACACCAATCGAATAATTAATAGTCAACTTGCACCTCACGCTGACCTTTTTTAAATTGTTTTCCTCTGCTTTATCTAATCAACAATTTATAACAATTATTCATAATTTATTGTATCTTCGCATCAGCCATTTTTTATCTCTATTAATTGATATATGATATATTACAGCAATGAGAAACACTAAGCGACAACATAAGTTACACACGATTTCTGAAAAGTAAAATACAAAAAAAAAAAAAAATGTCAAGTACTCAGAAGTGGCCGCGGATATCAGCGCTACTAGATTTATTGCTTTGCAGTCCGTGCTGGCTTTTGACTTTGACATTGATTTTAATTTCTTACTTGAAGCTCACATACTTCGGTGCTTCAAAATTATTTAATTTGTGTCGCTGCACTGCCTTATACAAATTAATTATAGATTGAATTTATTTTAAGCAACTGCGAATAATTTGCGAATCGCGCAGTGAGATTTTTATATTTTCAAGATGTCCTTCGTTCATGTGCAGCAATTTCCGCAAATGACAAGAGACACGTTGTTGGCTGCATGTATACATAAATCAGCAACAGCAACTCTAACAAGACACAAACATACAAACACACAGACATATTACAGCAATTACATAAGCAACAATAACAGTGTCATCAGCCACATTTAGTTGAACTGCCAACAACAACTAGCAATGGCAGTTCCACTACCAATGCCCCACACAATGCCGGATTCAACCACATAAAATTACGAAGGAACCAAAACAGATTCTGTAAGGCCTTAAAAAGTATGAAATCACCTCTACAACATTATTAGAACATACTGCAGCTTTATGGAATATGTCCAATACAATCGTACTTGAAATGAAAGAATTAATACTGATATCCTATATTTAATGGATCTTCACTCACCTACGGAGCCTTACTGAAATAAGTTTGGTCTGATTATATTCATATAAGAACAAATCAATTAGAAATGCTTATTAACATAAACACATAACGGAGATATGCTTATGAGAAAGTCATATAAGCATGAGTCCATTCTGAACTTCACCCACCTCCTCAACTACTTCTAGTAAGCCAGCCTGTTTCAAAAACAAAACTTATAAGTTTTATAGTCAACTCTGTCTTACTCAGAGAATCAATCTTCTACGTAGTAAACTTTTTATCTAGAAATATTCGGATATTTAATGGTATTTTGCAATCTTGTACAGAAATCTCTTCTAGGGGCGCCCTAGGCATGCATTTCTAGTAAATACCGACCTATTAAGATCACTGAGTACACAGACATGGTTGATTAAATATTGCAAAAATATTTGTAGAAATTTCATGCAGAGTACTAAACTTTAATTATTTATATCAAAAAAAGATAAATTTTATATATACCATCAAAAATGTCTTAAAATTGATATTTTATTATGACACAACAAGTGAATCAAAGGTTTGTTGGGTTGAGATATTTACGATATATTCTTAAACCAAAAAGAAATTTTTTCGGAACTGGTTATACAGTTTATTTTATCAGATCCTCATTAAGGTAATAGTTAATTTTAGGGACTACATAGGGATTGACAAATACTTGGGTTGTATGGAATAATAATATACTCCCCGGATATAAACATGTATCTGCACAGCAAAGATCGCAATTAGATGAATTACCTCTACCGTAGAAATATTATTTGTGTTGATTTCTGAAAGAATTAGTCCAATCCGATTCTAGCCTTAATAACATCCAGCCAATTTTTTTTTACATAGGACATAGGACTATCTGTACCATACTGGGCTATTATTTATGCTCCATTGATCATAATGACACCATACTGACTTCGCGCATAAGCGAGACACTCTTCGTGAACCAGTCAGTTGCATTCACCAATCCGTCCAACCTAGAACGACTTTATTGTTTTTTTAAAAATTGTTTTTTATTAAAATTATTTTCCGATATTTTGACTGATAGTCTTCGACAGTTAATAAATCGGAGAACTGACAATATTTAGCCATTTTAGTAATTTATATTTTAGGCTTTGGGCTTGTATTTAGTAAGTTTAGAAGTTAATTAAATAAAAAATAAGATTGTCGCCCAATAATATTTTTCTTACCTAAGTCAAGATCCGCTACTGTTCATGTTCTTTGCTTACTTATAAGCATACATAAAATAGATTTGCCCGTGGCGTATAAGTAATCGTAACTGCATTTGTATTGTCCAAGTGCGAATGATTGATGAGGTCTCAGCGTGTCAATTAACAAGTTGCGGAAAATGGAAAATGTTGTCAACACTCGCAAACGTAATGACGATTTTTCGTATTTGTAAGCTTTATGGAGCGTCTTTTAGACTGACAGCGATCGATCGAATTTGGTGGCAACTCGGAATAAAATTGAAAATGGCAAATTTTAATTGAATGTAAACAGCAAAATAACCAGCAACAACAACGCCGCAGCAACAACTGCCAACAACAGTTGCAACGGCAAGCAAACCAACAATGTCGTGCACAAAAGTGGGTTACGTATGCAAATTAAAATATTTGAAGACGTTTAAATCGAGAAGCTCTTCCATTATTTAAATTAAAATTTTTTAAGTACTTTAATGGATATTTAAGTTAACTCCAAATTACATACAAATTACATACTAATTATAAAGATTAAGTAATTTTTAAAATAAAATTTTATATAAAATCGTTATTGACGTCATTATTTTGTAGTTAATATCTCTTAAAAATAAATTAGATTTTCAACTCTACGATGAATACTGTCCACTTATTCAAATGTAAAATTGCGAAAAAGGAAATATTTCTATACAGATTGGGTCAATAGAATACATACAAGAATACGGAAAGGACAAAGTCTAAGCCCCTTCATCAATCAATCAATCAATCCAGTACGTTCCCAAGGGAACATTGGGCCATAAGCCCCTTCATCACTGATGATCAATTCCCACATGCCGTTAATTGATTCAGTATTTATTTTATAATCATATGTAAATCAGGTCACTCCTTAAATATTATATACTTACTAATAATAAATTGGAACTTACTTAAAGTCGAGCTCATAAAGTAGGAATTTAACTTTTTATCTTCTGCAGCATTGTTTAGAATCTATTGACTCAACTTAAAGGTCTTAAAGCCTATACTGGGCCCCTTTATGCGAAACCATTTAGCAGTTAGGAAGTACATGTATATATTAAGTATTGAGTACAAATGCAAGCGACAGTGGTCAAAAGCTAGTTAGCCTCCACAAACGACTTCAAAGCCTGGAGTGACGCCAAAAAATGTTATGGTTATGCGTCTAGTGGAATTTGAAGAAAATTGCTTATTATGAGCTGCTTCTTAGCCTTGTGCAATGGTCTTGAACTCGACCGCTTTGACAATACAAGCAAGGAAAAGCAACCAAAATTGGTCAACAGAAAAGGAATTGTGTTCCATCATAACAATACCAAGTCAACACGTCTTTGATGACTCGAAAGAAATAAATGGAACTAGTTTCGGAAGTCTTAATGCATCCATCGTATAACTCGAACCTTGCACCATCTAACTACCAGTTATTTCGATCCCCTAAAACTTTCTTAATGGTAAAAAATTGCCCAATTGAAGAACCGCTGAAATTGCTTAGCCAAGTTTTTCGGCGTAAAGTCACAGAGTTTCGACACCAATGGACTTGTGGAGCTACCCAAAAAATGGCAAAAGGTCATATAAAAAATAGCCAATAGAAACTTTTTGGAAATTAATTTTTTGTTATGAAAATTTTCGTTTTAAAATGCACCAATAAACACAATATATATTAGAACATAGATCACTTTTAAATAACTTTATTTAATTTATTTTGAAACATACAATATAATTTTTTTCATATTATATTATAATATTGCCTAATTGCATTATTATTTTTACTATATACTAAATTTTAATTTAATTTTTATTTCCAGAGCATATCCCTTGCTGTCATTTCCTGCATCTATGCACAACTGGCTCCCGGTTCAAATGCCTATTTACCACCAAAGCAGAACGGATATGACTACAAACCACCAAACACACCATTCGTGAGTATCTATATACTACATACTATAAATGCATATAACTGTTCACATATGTAAATACCAGAAAATCTTTAGAAAAATAATTAATATTCTGTGGCTTCAGTTTAGTGGACTTTACTTATCTTCACATTGACTTAAACTATCTTAATTACTGTGTTATTATCCTGTGGCATGACATTTTATAAAACAAGCTGTCAGCTTTGGATTTTGACTTCATAATTACTTTTTTATCAAACACCTATTCAAAACCAAACAGTATATAATAAAGTAAGCAACTGCTTAATATGCACGAGTACATGTCACATATGTTACACCTACGAACTCTATTCCCAAAAAAAACCTAACGATGAAGTCTGGGTGTTGATAACTGATCCCAAAGATACTCGTACAAATAATTTTGCCACATTTTTGAAGCTTGCCCAACAATTCGCAACAACTGTTTTGTCAGTCACTCAGAAGTTGCTACCTCATGTCAACTTCGAAGTTTTTTGTGGTGTCTAAGCTGCGGAGTTATGCGAACGGAATGAAGTTTGGTGCTTGGAGTTTGGAGTTTAATGTTGAAGTCATGATTTACCTGGTTTCTTCGGAGCCAATGAGATGATCTTCTGACAGCATGACAGCAAGTGAAAAACCCAAATAAATATCTGTTAAAAAATTACTATGCAAATGAATAAATATTTTCGAGGGACATGCAGCAACAATCTGCCTTCTTTCACATCAAGCAAATTTATGAGTTTTTTTCGTTCATCCGGCTGCCTTACAGTCTATTCGTCTCTGTGTCTGTCTGTCACTGTATAGTTGCATGCCTCTGGTTAGCAACGTTTGTGGCCGCACTGCTCACGTGAATGCAATTGTTCACGATATTTTCTTTATTTATTATTACATTTTCAGCTATTATTATATTTTGTTAAATCTGACAACAATAAAGTTGCAACCTGCAAGTCGCGAGTTGCTAGCAATTTTATTGCTACTGCTTTACTACAATTTGTCTCGCAAACACTTGCAGTGCAGCCGGAGCGGCGCAAGTATGCCTAACTTGCTGCCAACGGATGCACCTTTTGTTCACGTTATCTCAGCGGCAACTGCCTTTGTTTGCATTCACGTCCGATTGTCTGCTCGCTTTTTATTTGGATCGATTTTCTCGGTGTAGTTGTTGCCTACTAGCGATAAGGCTGCGATATTTCTGTATTTCTAATTTTTGTATTTCTGCTTAATAGGTCAACAAATGTTGCCAGCAGGTGACTTGCTGCTACATCTGCGCAATATGGCAGATAGGCGCAGATACAATAGCGCTTCGATTATTGTTTTGTGGGCTTACTTTGAAACATTCTTGGGTTTCTTTCCCATGTTCAGTGTTCAATGTTTAGTGTTCACTACTTGGAATACTAACTACGGAACCGCGCTTAGGCAATTGAATGTCGTTGGGGTATGAATCTCGTGCTAAATATGTCATCGCATGGACTTATGCTGCCTTAATTACTTCTTCTTACAATTTATTTACTTTTTTCCTTTGGACTCGCAGTTCGTGTTGAGATTTTTGAACTTTTGGCATTGCAAGGTGCGCATATTGACTTAAACGTACTTCATTTGAAAATTGTATTAAGAAAATCAAACCAAAAAGACAGAAACGGAAAAAACGGAAAACGGGGAGTTCGAAACTGTTGCCCCAACTCTGGCTCACGAAACATAAAAACACTTGAACTTTAAATTATAGCGAACTTAAAAAATCAACCATTGTTATCCAACGCAAATGCCGCCTTCATTTTTGTTGCCAATGTTGCCAACTGCTCCTACTTTGCGAATTCTTGGCTAATGTTTCGCTGGTTAATGCCGCACCTCGTACTGTAAAAAAGCCAAATTGAGATTTGATAGACTTCGCTGGTTGGTTCCGTTGAATGTCGTCGTCGGCGTCGTCATCGTCGTCTTGTTAACTTTACTTTTAGGTTAACTTTTTTTCAAGCTTTTTCCTTACTCGTATTTAGCACGAATTAAACGAGTGTTCATGTCTGTCCGACACAGCGTTTCGTTTCACTTTTTAAATCGGGCGTCAAAATGTTGAAGGTTACTTCTGACATTTCTGTGTTTAGATTTTTGCTACATCTTAAATATCTTAAATACACTATTAAACTAATTTTCAATAAATTTTTTTCCATCTTAACAGCAACCACCACCAACCGGACCACGGCCACCAGGCCCACCAACTCCTCCACGTCCACCAATAGGACCACCAGGTCAACCTCCTCGTCAACCAAACGGTGATGTAAGTTCAAAATTAATCAATAGTTTACCTTTTTCTTTAATGAAAAACAGGCATTATATGGACCATGTAATTCAATTGTTAGGGGAACAATTTAAAATTGTAAGTATATTAACATGGTTAACTTTGGAATAACGATACTCAATATATCTCATCATTTACGAATTTTACGAACTAAAAAGATACTACACAATCAAGATAAAATGATTATTTATAAAAAAGTCCGTTTCAAAAGGGATATATATTAGAGAGATATTTATGAGCCTGAACGCAATACAGATTGAGAAAGACTGATATAGAAATCGATTATTTTTGTTTCGAAGATTTGTCATTTAATGTGTCTTAATGTGTTGTTAAATTACACGAAGATTGTGGGATATATCAGAATAATATGAGAAAACCGAAATGCTAGCTAACTGCGCCAAAAACCCGTAATAATGAGAGATAAACGTATCTGTAAACTTATCGATCCCAATTAGACCACTATAATATTTTTAATATCAATGCAGTTTATAAGAAAGGAAACTATTTTCTAAAGACACTAATATATACTACCTGAAATATAGTATTAATAAGTACTTACGCCTTATCTCTTCTAGGATCACGTACATGTTCCTGGCATGCCTTTCGATTTCCAATACGCTGTTAATGACATTGAAAGCGGAAACGACTATGCCCACAAGGCCGAGAGTAATGGGGATGTGGTGAACGGCGAATATCGTGTACAATTACCGGATGGTCGCACACAAGTTGTCAAGTACACAGCAGACTGGAAGACCGGCTATCATGCGGAGGTGAGTTACGAAGGAGAGCCACAATTTCCACAAGGACCTGGTGGTCGAGCTGGTTATAAATATTAAGCGTACACCCATATTCCATAAAACTCACATGTAGGAAGAAGCTACAGAAGACGAGAAAATCAAAACTTTTTTCAACGAATCTAAAGTGAAAATTTTTAAGGCGCATTTTTTCTGCCATTTTTTTTTTTATTTAATTTGATGATTGAATTTTGTGAAAATTAGTCACAAAATTTGGCCTTTATCACATAAAGAATTAATGCATGTAAAATTTTTGTAACAATTTTTTTTAAAGCAATAGAAAAATAAAAATTTGAAAAAACAGTAATAAAATTTATATTTACTTTATCTCGATGAGCTAACCTTTTTTTAAAGAGAATAATTTTGTATTACAAAAACATTATATTATATATTTGAACTAAGCTCTTGAAATGACTAGCAAAAACAAACGTTCCATTGCAACAGATTAACACTACTACTCAGTTTCCAATAGAAATATGACAAATAATCACAGTTAAGTATAAAATATTGGAAGAAAGGTACTTACCTTATATGGTTAGAGTAAAGCTCTCTTATATCATTAACAAGATTTTACAAATAAAATGGTTGAGTGAAAAAGTTTAAATCAAAATTACATTTTTAAGTGTTAATTATATAGTCCTATAAACATAACATAACGCAATAGAGCCTAGTATAAACCTTGGCCTTTAAGACGACTTGCCTCCATATCGTTAGTGACCCATAGAGGTCTTGTATTCTAATAAAAATCTTCCCATCTTATTTTTGCTCGACCTTTGTGTCTTGTTGTCATAGGTTCAAATGTCTCTCAGGACCATACTTAGACAGTCCATTAAAATCTCTATACTTTAATTATTCTTACATTATTTGAATTTTCCAGTAACTCATTAATATCTCTATTTTTTGTCGTCCTAAACGATTTTTTAACTACTAGGGTCAGTTTTTGCTCAAGGTTTTTCTTTCAGAGATTCGAAGGCTTTTCTCATCATTATTTTTTATTTATTTAAAAAGATTATACGCTTTTATTTAAGAATATACTTAATTATCTGAAATAGTTCAGGTTATTGTTATAACTTCTGTTAGCTATCCACAGTCCGTCATTTGTCGTGACTTTACTTTTATTGTCTTTGTTTATAACGCAACGAGGTAAGTCTACAAAGCAATATTAACCATCTGATTAGCTTTGCATATTAGACCTTTTATTTACTCTCATTAGTTTGAAACATTTCATCATTCCTTTGTTAGAATATTTTATTAGAGTTAAATGGATCTCAACAACTAGAGAACGTTTAGTGATGAGTTACTCTTACCTCTTTTATCTGCAAGTCATATGCCTATGGTTTAGTCAATTATTCAACAATTCATTGTGCAATGATATCCATTTAAAGCCAAGTATATAAGAATGTATATATGTATATATGTAGAGTTCCCAAATTGCCTCAACATATACCAAATGTTTACTCAAAGGAATTAACAAAGTACAAAGTCAGTTACAAAAAATATTTTAACACTCATTTTTATGATGAAAATCGGAAGCTTTTAAGTGTGTATAAAGTTTCCCAACGATTTATTCTTTTTAAAGTATTTTCAATTATTTTTAAAATTTTTTTTAAATTATTTGTTCCAATAGTATTATCCTTTTATTTAAATTACTTTCCTGACCACTATTTTCCAGTCCGCTACTTGGATTCCACATAGTGTATGTTATTTGAATTCGTATATACGGTATTTGTTTCTTGATCGTACGAGATATTCCTTTACACAGTTTGTGCCAAAGAGAATAAATTGGAACTCGCGATATATGTTTTCAAGTGGACCACGAAGGACCACGAAGAGGTTTGCAACAGAAATTTGCTTAACATATCAACAAAATCCACACTCTCCTCATGCAAATATTGTAAATTTCGTATGATATTAAAGCAAATAATTACAGAACAGGCAATTGATAAGAGTTTTGTTAAATTGTTAAATAGCGGTTAGGCCACAAATCTGATTCAAACAGATCACTTTACCTATAAATAAATCTTAACTCGACCACAAATACACAAAATCCGAATGTATAGTTGATAGAGCAGTGAAAGTCAAGACACAAACCATACATCGAAGTAGACCGTACGATGAATAAGTACCGTTTGGAATTAAAAATTTTGGAATCCAATTTGACCGTAGTCACCACACATAACCAATTTGCATCCACGTGTCTGACTAGAAAAATGTGACAATAATTTTTAAAAGCTAGGATAGAGCCCAGAAATTATTTACGAAAACTGACAGGCTTACCAACACCGCATTATTGAATCTCAAAATGGTTATAGGCTCCTCGGGGATGTATGCATATCTGAGGTCTGTTATTGCTTAAACTGAAAAAGTAAAAAACAATAATCCACTCAAGGCGTTGAGAGGGGTTATGAAGAAACCTCGCAGTTAATCGAGAGTATAAATGCACTGACTCAACTAGCCTCAACATAATAAATATTATTGCTAGATTTCAATATTACAATTTATTAATATTTCTCGTAATTCTCTCACTAACTTTGACCTCAAATTTCGTCTAAATTATATTTCTCTTGATCGCCAATCATTTTAATTAAACAATGTGTGTTTAGGCAATCCCAGAACCCTAAATGTATCGAATAGCTGAAATAACTAAAAATAACTCATGGATTATTCCAAAATGGGAGAAATGATTATAACTACCTTAGAAGCTGTCTTTTCACATTCCATTTTTTGTGGAGTTTTGATGTCATCGGCTTTTTATCTTTGATATTTGACACTTAAAATTGAGGAATTAATACAAACATTCTATGAGAGCATAATTTTTTCTTGTCTTAATTTTAATAATAGTAATAATATCGCATCAGAAGTCAACGTATGCAACTCGGTAAGAATTGTATATATTTTACATATATAAAAATCAATCTTCCAATCAAATCAATGTTACAATTATAATAGCTAAGTTTCTTCTTTTAAGAAACCAATTAAGTAATGCCTTGCACCCCATAATCGGCAAATGTAAATAAATAAGTGTCAAAAGACTAGTCCTAGCAACGTGTGAAAACTAATAGAATAGTAGACATCCTTAATTTTTTTTAACAATCTATATCCTATGCACAAACATTACAAAAACACTAATTTTGATATATCAAATTTATATTATTATCATTACTTAGACATTAAATTATATAAATTTTTAAATTTTACTTAAACTAAATCAGTTATAAATTTAAATTATTTTACATAAAAACGATGTTTCTTTTTTAAATAAATTTGTTTAAACATGATTTTTTCCATTTGATTAAAAAGTGTATTCAGTTGATTCGTAAATTATATTGCGATGTCAATGTTTTCTCTGGAAGATTCAAATGATTTCGTTTTGCAAACATTTTTTACATGGAGAATTAATGTAAGTTAAGCTTAATGTAGTAAAAATATTGTATGCCGATTTATAACATGAGACTATTTTATTATTGAGTACAATTGTACTTATTGTAACTAAGTGAATATTGACTAAAATATATTTATGAAATAAAACTTAACATTATAATTCATATAGTTTACGATATAAGCATATCTAAACATTTAGTAAAGAATTTTAGTAACAACTGAATATAGCAATTAGAATGGACTAAATAGTATTAATCAATTGTACTAAACATTGTTGTATGTAAATATGCTTATAAAATAAACACTATTATGCATGGATTATAACTAGATTAAAATTAATAAAACTCATCATTTAAAACATTTTTATACTAAAGGCGTGTGTACTAATACAAAGCAGGCACAAAAGATAATGCTTGTTTGTAAACATTTTAATTTTAGTACTAACAAATGTAATACAATTTGATTTTCATAACTGCGGATTTGTATTTCAAATAATTAGATAACGAAAGTTATACATAATTTATATTCATTGATCATTGTGTAACAGATGATTATCTAAACTTTTAGTACTTACAGCTAAACTGATTAAACTACGCAAACGCATTTTCAATGCCATTAAAAAAGGATAAATAAGGTTTTTATACAAACTCATTGATTTTCTATTATTCATTTACTAAATTATAATATAGTATGAAATATGTACGTGTTAAAAAATGCCTAAAATTATTAAAAATTATACAGCAGAAATTTGTGGATAATTTTAAGCATTTTTTCACACATAACAATCAAATATTGATTATAATTCTTATTTCATTTATTATTATTTTTTTTGTTTTGTTTTTTGTTATTAAATAATGTTTGAGAATTTATTCTTGTTTATAGTCTTTGTTAAATTTAAATTTATTATTTCATTTTTTATATTTAACAAAACTAAAAAACGATTGAATTATTATACATTTGAAAGTTCAACAGAGCCAATTTTGAATAACTTTAAATATAATATATAGCATTTTAAAATAATTCAAAGGTTTTTTATTTACGCTTGGAATACGCTTAAAAAAATATTGAGTCATGCAAAAATTAAATATAATAATTTTAATTTGTCTTAGTATGAAAATCTGTAAATAAAAAAAATTTTTTTTGTGTACAAAATAAGAATGAAAACAATTTATACTCGTCAACCTGCGCGGTTTAAAAATGTTTAGTTTAAATTACTATTTACAGATTTGTATTATGTTGTTATAACTATTTATCAATTCATAAATTACTAAAAAAAACAATATATATAATAAAAATAGCATAAACTTAATAAACATTGCATTTCATAAGGACCACCATATTTTATACATAATCAATCAAATACAGACATCGGCCGTCAGTCACATAGCATATGCCAAATATCAGATATAATTCTATTTTTTATATTGACTAAAATCTCAATGATAGCCATCAGTGATTATGCCATTTTGTCGTATCGACATACGTCGCGTCATTATACGTTGTGGCACACCATTGCTGTCAATTACTTCATCTACAATCATAGCACTATTCTCTTCAGTTGTCATACTTCCTCCAACTGTATTATCAACAACCAAATTAGTGGCTGTACCATTGCCGATGCCAACTCCTCCAACTCCTCCAACTGACACTATATGACTCATGTCACAGTCAGTCATATCCGTTGAGTCCATTGAAGTCCGTCTTGCCGGTGTGCGACCTAATTTTGATTTTTTAGGTGGCAACGTACGCGGTGTGGACAGTTTCTGTAAAATAGTTGCTACTGCGGGAGTATTCAAGTTATCGGAATCGCTGTCATAATTGCGTTTACGTGCAGCTACTGTTCTAATTTTGCCGGGTGCATTACTATTATTGCTGCTGCTATTGCTATTACATTCTTCACCTAGCATCTGAATGGGTATGGGTAACGGTGCCAGTATTTGCGGCTCATCATTATAGTAAATGCTCGTGGACATATGCGTACGTAAACAGCCATTTTCATCAATATTTTCTAGTGGTGCTGGAATATGGTACTTTGTTTCGTTGACATTTGTTGTGTGCATTTGTTGCATTTGAATTTGATGTAGATGATGAGCTTGCTGCAGATGTGGATGTTGCAGATGATGATGCTGATGGTGAATGTGTTCTTGCGGATGATGTTCTTGTAGATGTTCTGGTTGCTGGTGTTCTTGTTGATGGTGTTGTTGTTGATGATGATGCTGCTGAAGGTATTGCTGTTGTTGTTGCTGCTGTTGGTGGTGTTGTTGTTGTTGTATTTGTAATTGTTCGGATTCATCGTAATCGTAACTTGCGTCAGTTGCATCGGTTAACGAATTTCCATTTTGTTCAATAAGTGGCCTATGCATAATCTCTTCGTCTTCAACCAATTCTTTTCCATTGCTTGTTACACCATTTTTAAGTTGGATATTTTCTTTTTCTAAGTCATCGATACGTTCCTTAGCAATTTTTAATTCTTGCTGTAGAAATAGAATTGTACTCTGCATACCTTCTACATCGTCTTCCAATTCTTGCAAAAAGTCATCAAGCTCTAAATAATAAAATTTATAGAGTTAATAATAAAGAATTATTTCTTTACTTATGCCTAAATTATACCTGATTGGGATTTCTTTACTTCTTCGCTGAAACTCTTTTGCATTGCTAATTCTGTCTCCAATTTAGCCAAACGTCCATTAGAAGTCATTTTTCCTAATTCTTCATTTTCCTAAAAAATGAAATAAGCATACCATATCAATTTCATATTCATATGTATTTCATTTTATATTCATTATTATTACCTGGTATAATAGGCGGCATTTAGCCATTAATCTCTTGCCCGTATTTGAATCCGGTGTGAATTTCCATGCTGCCAATTCATTCTGGGTTTCTTCTAGTTTAGCTTTAGTAGCTTTTAACTCTTTCTTTAGTTTTTCAAAGAGTATATTCACGGCTGGATCAAGTAAAGCCGACCGTAACGCCAATGCAGTAGGGGCTTGTGCAGCTTTGTATTCAGCGATTTGACTCTGAAAAAAAGAAATCCATAAATATGATTGACAAAATATAACAACACGATAAAGAAAGAAATAAATAATCTCTAAGATAAAAAGGAACAATTTAGTCTCTTAAAATGAAAGCGACATCATTAATATGGAGCACACATTTATTTGGATAACTGTCTCTTTAGTTAACAAATATTCGAGTTTTAGTACTATTATATTTTAGATAGATAGTTTCTTTTATACCTCATTAAATGAAAGAAGTGAGTTCAATCTCTTGCATTCTCCTAAAACTTTTAATTTTTAACTGATCTGTTAGTTCAGCTATAAATATATTACACAAAATATAAAAAAAGTAGAACCTAATAAAGCGCAGCTCTTAAAATGTTTATTTTTCAATTTTAATAGAAAATTCTGCAAATATTCGTAATACAGAAAAAACACAAACGATTATAACAAAAAACTCGGGTTCACACATTTATGTACATACATTATATTTAATGCATAGTTCCACGCAGCAAGATATTATACAGAAATAACTTATAAAGTTAATTATCTTTGCCGAAAGCTACATAGGAAGAGTAGACGACAAAGAAGCTACTTTTTTAAAAGTTAGGTCTCTTTACTCTTCGAACCTTTCTAATCGGAATAACTTATAATTCTCACAATATAAAAGCTGAAAGTATTCGCAGTTGAAAGTACTAATAAATTCTTTAGTAAATGGATAAAAAATTATGTATCTAAATGATACATTTATAAATATTGGAATATCTAAAATCTAATAAATGGGTATTTTAAAAAATTTTACAATGTAATGAAATTTTCTTACCACATAATCCTGAAATTCCTGCTCCTTGTTCGCCAAACGTCGCATGAGGATTTTCTCCCGACGTTGTGCGTCGGAGTGTAGTTGTTGTAATCGTGTTTGCTCCAGTTTAAGAGTTTCGATTTCTTCTAGAATGTTATGAATGTTATGGATCAAAATAAGTTCATGAATTTACTTATAACATAAATTTAATCTACTAATGCAAAATTTAAAAATTATATATTTTCTAAATAATACTTGTATTATAAATAAAAAAATTTATTAAAAACTTTTTGAACAATATTAAGGATATATGAACAATATATATATATATATGAATATATATGTGTTTTGTCAATTTTATAGCATAATATATAATCATACCAATACTAGGTGCAACGTGTGTTTGACTTGAGAAGTTGACTTGATTTTGATTTCATTCTTGAAATATCTTGGCATTGTGACGGTGCTTCGTAATTCGAGATCGGTTGCTCTCAGCTGTAGCAAGGCGGCACTCGGAGAGGTCACAAACTTAACGACAGTTATTTTGCGTTTAGACATATATATATATATACAAATTTGCGGTGTATATATAATTTTGTGCATGTACATATATATATAAATGAATATATATATATCTATATAGATTCGATTCGAATGTAAACTACTCACTATAACTCATTTGCAACACTTTATTTTCTCGGAATAATAAAGACTTTTCTTCTTTTATTATTCAATTTTAATGCATTTTTAAAAAGGAATTTTAACCAATTTTTTTACCTTTAAACACAAATTTAAGAAATATTTTAATTATATATTGATTATTGAAAAACACATTGGCGGACGCACTCTTTTTTGACACTTATTAATTAGCGAATATGTAATAAGTATATAATACAATATTACATATATGTATATATAATGATATTCATTTATCATTTAGTCCTTTTTATTTAAATAACTAATTTAATATTTATGGAATTTATTATATTATTACACATCATTTTTATATATATATAATGGTTTGGTTTCTCTATATATCAGGAATTACTTTTTCTCTCTCGGTGCTAAGTTTTGAAAAGGATTTTTCAACAATAATTACGAAAGATAATTAGACAAAATCAGTTGTTTTACTATATTTAATATTTTCATATTAGTAAAAAAGTTTTATTTGAGATTTTAGACGTTATAATGATAGCATTAGAATGTAATAACAGGTGCCTAATTATTAATATCTAAATTTAACATAACAGCTATAATGATTTCAATATATGCTACATTGGTGACTATGAGTTTTAAACAATTAAATTTATTTCAACAGAATTAGACTAATTTAAAGAAATATATTCTATAATATTCTTTCTTAATCCGTTGTAAGAGATGAAGAAATTAAGTTGGATTAGAATCTGATGGTAAGGCTGAGAAATTGGAAAGTTGATGGATGAATGCACTTATCTTGTGTACAAACACAAACTTTATTTTTTTTAAATAATATGAGGACAACTTAGTAGGTGTACGTCTTTAGCAATATAGTTCACCGTACTTAATATATACATTAGAAAATCGCAGAATTGATGATTAGCAAAACATCCCTTAAGTATTTTAACTTCATCTAAATCTAATTTTTCTAAGATACAAACATGAAAAAATCGTGCTATGTTTCATAACCATGTGGTTATTTCGAATACCTCTAGAAATAACACTGCATTGATTTTTTCGAAAATTCAAATGAATGATTTAAGTTATGTTAAAAAATTTAATAACAAACTCACTTTTTCCATTGTTTAATCGAAAACAAAGACCGTCCTTTTATTATAATTTTAAGGTTATTAAACTAAGATACACGGATCAACAAATATCGAATAAGTGCTTTCTATCAGTCTTTGAGAAAAACCGCAAAACCAACTCTACAGAACTTGTATATACTTATATGCATTATTAAGTTTAAAAGATTAAATTCAAAAAAATAAAGACAAACTTTATCCATAAAAAAAAATGGAATTTAATTTAATATTTAAAATTGAAACATCAATTACAAAAAAAGATCTAATAGACCTTGTTGTAGTGTCCTTCAAGATCAGACTTAATAGACCTTGTTGTATCCTTACAAGATCACACCTAATAGATCTTGTTGTTATTACAGTAAATCATTCTTCCGTTTTAAGAAAGACTGAATCAGATTAAGACTGACTCAGATTAGAGTCTCAACATTGAAAAAAATTGTTTTTCTTTTTAAAGTAACACAGTCTGTTGCCCATTGCGCTCCAACGCAAAAGAAATATTCAGAATATTCAAAAGAAATATATTACCGTACTCAAAATCAAATTTATTAGTTTTCTTGACGAATTTAAGAATATCAGACAGAAAAAAAGAGAAGGAAATCTGTCAATATATCATATATCTATCTATTATAACTATCTTAACCTCTCTATCTACTACAAGTATCTATAGATTGCATCTATCTATTTCTTAAATCTATATATTTTTTTTATCTATTATATCTATTTATATTTTATGTCTATGTATCTCTTGTATCTGTTATATCTATCTACTGTATCTATCTATCTATTTAATCTATCGATATAATTTATATCTCTCTAATATATATATATCTAACATAACTATCTATATCTCTCTATATCTTACATATATCTATCTTTTACATCTATCCATCTATTACTCTATCTATATATTACATCTATGTTTCTTATAACGATCTATCTATTACATCCATTTATCTATTACATTCATTTATCGATTATATCCATATTTCTATTATGTCTATGTACCTCCTATATCTATCTATCTGTTATATCTACATATATATATTTCATCTGCCTTTTATATCCATTTACCTATTATGTCTTTGTTTCTCTTATATCTAACTATTCAATTATTTTAAGTTTAAGCAAAATAATTAAGAATTTAGTATTTTATATACACAAGTATTGCAGACCAAACTTCCAACATTGTTGAAAGTATACATATTTATATGAAAAAAATATAGGAGCCTTTCCCGTCTCCTCTAGACTTCAACACATACTCATATGCATATATTGATATCTCCATATGAAAAGGTAGTTCATATATCTCCATATGATTTTATGATAGTTCGTTAACGTGGAATTTATTTATCTCAATTCATCGCCTAAAGCACGGAGCAACAACAATAATTCATTTCAATACAAACAAACCATAAATATATATATAAACTTGTTGGCATATGTATTTATTTTCAAATATTTATCATAAAAAATAAAACATTTTTTTAAAACACAGCACAAATGAATTTTTTTTCTCTTTTTGTCTTTTGTACATTCTTTTATATTTTATTTTATTTTTTTTTTTTTTGTTTTGTTGTAAAACACATTTAAATTTTTATTATTCATTTTAATCTCTTTATAAACAAGAAATTTTGAACTAAGCATGGCCTAGAAATACGCTGACTTGATTGCTTTTTAGCATTATTTTTCACTTTACCAAAGAAACTAAGCATATTCTACATGTCCATATGTCTGAATGTAAGACACATACAGATATAGACAGTGTAGATTCTTTGTATATTCGAGCACAGTTGATAATTTTTTATTTATTCATTTTTTATTAAACCACTGACGTGAGTTGACGACAGACGACAACAACGGCAACGAAAGCACAAACGACAACGAGCAGCAACAGAATAAAACATTGACAACGCCGACGTGTTTTTGTTTTTGTTACTTCATACGAATTTTTTCTATTTCTATATTATATATATACTTATTTTTTTTTTGCCTTCTTTCTTTTCGTATTATTATTTGCTGAAGAGGTCAAAAGACATGGCAAAATAGATTTCGTTAAAAGAAAGAAAACAGTAAAGAGTGGGGGGGGAGTAATGTATACATACAAACTGAACGCGCCAGAGTATAAAAGCAATGTGCCACTACATTTTCAATGCTTATTTTTATTTAATTCATTTTCATTTTATAATTATTTTAAAATTTCAATATTTTTATTTGTTTAAACGGAAAGACCAAATATAATTTCTTATTTTGGTATACACACAAGTTCATTTCGAAAACACTTTATAATTAATTATGAATTTTAGTAATATTTTAATATAATTTTAATTTAATTTATTTGGAATTATATATTTAATTTTTTTTTTTATTTCTTTTGCACAATTTCTAATTTGAATAGTTTTTTTCGTAAAACTTTATATATTATTTATATATATATATATATATTTCCCTAATCACTAGCCACTTATATTTCATTATTTTAGTTCTTAATATTTATTTGAACACACCTTTTGGTATATATTTATTTTTTATATTATTTATTTACTTTTTATCACACTTTTATTTTATTTTATTTTATTTATTTAAAATTTAAAATTTCGGTAAAACATTAATTGTACACTTTGCTTATGAACTAAAGTCCTTTGGGTAAATAAGAGTCAAAAAGAGAGTGTTCGCTTTGCATTTATTCTTTCAAGTGTTTTTCAATGTTCAACAATTGTTATTGTTGTTGTTGTTGGTGGTAGTGTTTTTTTTAGAGCCTGCAAACAAGTAATCAATATCTAAAAACTAAATTGCAAATATGTATTTTCAAATCGAGAGAATAAATATTTTATGAATAGGCAACATTCAACAAAATTAACGTCTCAAAACTTAAAGTAAATTTGTTAATAAATTATGTTATTGTGATAAATAAACGAATTCTTAGTAAAATTGTTCAAAAAGTCAACATTACATTTCGAAAAATTAAAATAAATTACAACAAGTTACTAAGTAAAAAAAGAACTGCTTTGTTTTCTTGAAGAACTCAAGACTCAAGACACTCACACAATTTTTTAAAATAAGTTTATTATTAATTTTGATTTGTCTTTTGTGTAATTTTGGTAATTTTCTTTAAAAAAAATACCTTCTAACAAACGATGGCGCTGTTCTGCCGCAGCGACGCTATGCTGGTGATGATGTTGGTGATGGTGGTGCGAATGATGATGATGGTGCGTATATGGATGCGATGTGGGCTCCTCTGAGCCAGATGGTGTAGGCGATGCGGGCCCGGAGGGTGGCGCACCTGAGCCACTGCCTCCGACACCATGCATGCTTTGTTCGTATTTACTTGACATTTTGTCATAACTGTTCATCAAAGGTCTTTGATCGTCCATAGTCATTGCAGCGACACTCATTATAATAGAAGTGCACAATTTTTCACTCTTAAGTATACTGATTTATACTGATTTATATATGTAGGTGTATAGATATTTATAAAACTTATTTTTAATTGTCTTTTAATATAGAAATTATTTTTTTTTTTTTGATTTTCCAGCTATACGTTTTTTCTGTATACGCCACACAAGCGGCACGTACGCGTTTTTTTCTAACTTGCCTCTTTTCTTTTTTTTTAACCTCTTAAGACTATATTATTTATTTCTTACAATTTTCTCGCTTCTTCTGCTTTCTTGCTTGTAATACGCTTTTTTCTCTTTGATTTTTATTTGGTTGTAAAATTTTCATTCGCTCAATTTTACAAACTGCAATTCTTTAATTGCAAAATTAACGCACTTCTCATAGACTTTCCTACTTACATTTATATAAATTTTATAAATTGTTTATAGAATCACACTTTTTTAATATATTTATCAGATAATTTACACTATTAATGCATGTATTTTATAATTTTCACTGCTTAAAATTTCGACGCGTCACAATCATGGAAAAATTTTCAACTTTTGATACAGAAAATTCAATATGGTCGTGCTATATAACAAAATGAATGCGATAGAAAGAGATAGATATATACAAACAGCGATCATAGAGAAATGTCAAAATCAGCAGCAGGGTGTTTATGTAATAAAAATTTGTTATGAAATAGTTTTTTATATTATATTAATAATATTTCGTTGTTATTCCGCGTTCAAAACAAAACGTTTATTGAAATAAATGTCATTTCTTATAATAAATAACTTTTATTGTAATATGCATTATACTATAAGCAATGCAATAGTTATTGTACATTAGATTTTCTATAAACAAAACTTTGGGTTATATTGAATTTTTTTTAATTATATTTAATTTAATTAATTTCATCAAAATAGATTATATACTAAGTAAGAAGGCTTTATATTTAAAAATATATATGTTTACATGAAATAAAAAAGTTTTAAGTATAAAATTTAAAAGAAATTTTGATTATACAATATTAAAATTGCTTTAACTTTAAAAGTAACTTAAATAAGTCTGAATATACTTAGCCTTATTACAATTTTTAAAGAGATGAAGTCATACAAAAATAAATATTTTATATAATTTTATGAGATATTAGGTCTGTTCCACGAGCTACTCGTAGTAACTTCTGTTTAAAACTCAAATAAAACAAAAGTAGCACAAATTGCGAGCGTAGCACAAATAAAGTGTCAAATTACGCTCTTTGCACAGATTTTCATGAAACAGCTCTGTGTAAAGTCTAGTGAGAACACCAGTGCCGCGCAAATAAACAATACAATACTTTAAACTCAAACTTAAACAGCTGATTCACGAGTAAAGTCTATTTAGCATTTTCAATTTACGACAGAGATGTTACGCTCTCTCAGATACTCTCTTTTACTCAAAAATTTGCTCGTGGAATGCACTTTTGTATACATAGTGTTGTGTACAAAGCAGGGTTCGTATTTGCTTACTCATGAGCAGGTCAGGCTCATGAGCAAGAGCCAATTCTTATGTGAGCCCAAAATTGGCTCATATTGAAGCGCTGCTCACCAGCGTAAGCCTTCAAGTTGCTCATATTGCAGAGCTGCTCATGAGGTCTCACGAGCCAAGAGCTCACGAGCTCAATTGTTTAATAAAACGCGATTTATTAGTTTATTTGCTTTATTTATTTTTATAAACGTTATATGTGAAAGTATATAATTTAAAATTAACTTAGTTTATTATTATTTATATTAAAACAATATAATAAAACAATAATTTGAATTTGAAAAACAAATTTATAAAATATTATTATTTTCCACAAATAAACAATACAAATATATTTATTTTTTATTTTAAGAACTTTGATTATTTCCATATTATAGTTAGTTTAAGATTATTAATATTTTAAATCTTTTTTAATGACATGTTTTCACAAAAAAAAAAATAATAATAAAATCTTAAATTGGGCGCATGAGATCTCATGAGCCGCAGCTCATGCTCTTGCTCACGAGCGTGAGCCCATTTATAACTTAATGGCGGCTCTTGCTCCTGAGCGTGAGCTCCGTAGTGGGCTCGCTCGTGAGCGTGAGCCATCGTATGAAAAGAGTTTTTTGCCGGCAAATACGAACTCTGGTACAAAGTTACTACGAGTAGCTCGTGGAACAGACTTATTATCAGGGTTCAGAAAAACACTGTGCTGTGCACAAAAATGCAAAACACCACGCACAAATGTTGTGCGATTCTAAATAAAATTTCACACCACAAATGTGATGTGCGAAAATTTTTGTGCACATCTTAAGTGCCACATCTTGTGTGCACAAACAAAACGCACATTTCACACGAGTGTGGTGGAGTGAAATAAAACTCGCACACGCATTCGGTGTTTGTGCAGAAGTTATTTCGCACAGCACATTGTGTGTGCGGCAGCCAACTTGCCCTCGCACACAACGTGTGCAGAAAAGAATACGAGGAGCACATTTTGTGTGCAGACTCGAAAATAA